AATAGAGATTTGGGACAAACCCTCAAAAATTATCAACCTTTTACGTCTAGGTCGAAGGCAACTTTGAACTTGGCTAGGTGTGTCTAGAACTAATGAATGTGGAATTTTGTGAAAGAGAAGGTTTAGAAAAAGAATAGAGAGAGAGAAAGCTTATAGCTTTTAGAGAGAGAGATGATGGGGAATAATAATTGTGAATGAATAAAAACATGAGATACAACCCCTATTTATTGAAAAAATAGTCCGAAATCAAATCAAGTCATATTCGGAATAAAACACCTCATGTCGCCAACAACAAGAGTTAGCGCCAGGCAACAACTGTCAGCGCCACCAGGTGATAGCTGTTAGCGCCAGGCGAATGCCTTGTTGTCTTGCGCTAAGTCAGAATTAAAACGCGCTTTCCACGCGGAATCCTCTTCTTAATACGATTAATCAGCTAATTCCACGTTGATCAGATTTAAATCATGTTTGTGACAAATCACATATTTTATTCAAAATAAAACTATTTAAACTATAAATATTAATCCTAATCTTATTAGAATTAAAAATAAACTTCTAGATAATTCTATAAGATTAATATTAGTCCTAATATCTTCAGGAATAATAATTAATAGGCCCTCCTCTAGATAATTGGGCCACGTGTAAAATTATTTTGGGCCAAATCTAATTTAATCCATAACTTCCTCATTATTCATCGGAATTGGGCTTATAATATATCGTTGGAAAGCTATTTTTAAGCTCAATCCAACTAAACTATTATTGGACCCTTATCATGGACCAAACTAAATTGGACTGTGTAGGTGTCGTTCGAAGTACGCCTACGTGAAAGCATGTTGTGAATATGTTTGACACACATAGGATGTGGGAATTGACGTATACAATTAGGGACAAGGAAAATAGGGATCCGCCAACAAGTTTTTAAAGAACTTGTAAACCGTTTACGGATCATAAAAGGCAACCACGATTAAGGGACGTACAATGAAAGACAACAACGATTGACCCATGAAGGTTACACCCCATTGATAATCCATGAGATTACTAACTCCGTATAATTCAGAACCACGAAAGGAGGATCGGGGATGATGGTACGAAGTGAGTCATGTAGTCACTTTTGCCCGTATTGGCCTCTAATTAATTCTTATAGTGAAAAGCATTCCTGGGATCTCAAAGGCATACAAAAAAAGATTCAATTTGCTCCAAACTATTATTAGGCTAAATTGGTTGAATATTAATGCAACATATAATTCTAAAATATTAGTGATCACTTTATTAAACAACAAGATTAAAAAGGAACCAAAATCGGTTGTCCAAGTTATCTTATTAGGCGTGATTTTCAATTACATATTCCCTCGAACATGCAATATGGTGATCAATAAATATAATAAAATAAGCATTAATATTGGAAGAAATTTAACAATAAATCCAACAATATTAAAATTGTTAGAAAAATAATAGAAATAAAAGGAACATGATTCTTACTTTGATTTTGTTTGCTTGCAACTATAAAATAATAAATGAGTTAGTAATTGTAAGGAAAATTAATAAAACAATAATTAAATTCAATTTAAATTAAATAGAGTTGATTTGGGGTCAAACCCTCAAACAATTCTACCTTTCACGGCTTGGTTTAATGACTGAACCTCGAGTAAAGTACGGACTCCTTGGAGTTGCTTAAGGAAGGAATTATTATAGAAGAAGGGTAGGCTAGTGTTTAGGCTAGAGCATAGAAGAGAGAAAAAGAGAGTTAATTGATGCCCGTACATCATAAATAAGGGGGTAAGTATAGGGAAAATGAGTAAAGGGAACACACGGAACCCTAAAATGGATAAAAACCCTAAAAAGACTGTCGCGACATGGAAAAATATGCCGCAACACGGCAAAAATTTTCGTGACACGGTGGTCCATTGTGTGAGGCGGGATATTTTTGTGAGACACGGGAAAAATCTGAACTACGAGAGGTAATACGCGTGAAAGGATTACGCAAAAAAGACATGAGAAAATTTAGTGTCACAGCACTGGAACCGTGTCACGGGAAATCACACCATGTGTGATGCAGTGCATTTTGCCGTGACGCGGCAGATTCTGCGTTTATTTTTCCATCTAAATACATTTTTGCCCTAATTTCATTCAGCCTTTTAAAGTGCCGATTGATAATTTTGGGCCATTTCTGATTTATTATTTATTAATTGGGCCAAAATAATAAATAAAATATAAAGGTTTGGGCCAAAATTAAAAATAAACTATTTTTTTACTAAACATCAAGAGTGATTCATGGACTATTAAAAACTGAATTTAATTAAATACTATTTTTTAAGCACTCTCGGGATTAAATACTGAACCCGACCAATAATGGCGGTGAAAGATTGTTCATCATCGGGTTTGATTTTGGGGAGACATTTTTAGGTGTCAACAGAAGCCCTCACTTTGACTGAGTTTGTAGAAATAACAGTTTTGAAAACGATAGTCAAAGTAGTCGATAGGGACGGAGAATGATTTAAGACGTTTTGCGCTTAATCACTCTGTATAAGCCGATACCTGCAGAATAATGTTAGTTCCACAGATAAAAGAGTAAAGGGATAGAATACGTATCTGACACCTGTGAATTGATGACAAATGAGTTTGGTAGCTTCCTATGCTTGAAGGAATCCACTAGATGATGTTTCGCTGAAACACTTTCCATGCCTGAGGAGAGTCGACTGATGAATTTGGTAGCTTTCTAAGCCTGAAGAAGCCTACCGAATGATACTTTCCATGCCTGAAGAAAGTCATTATATGATTTTGGCGTTTTTCTATGCTTGACGAAATCTACCGAATAATACTTTCCATGCTTGAGGAAAGTCGATAGAATAATTTGGCTGTTTTTCTACACTTGAAGAAATCACCTATAATGCTTTCCATGATTGAGGAATGGCGACTTGGCGGTTTTCTATACTTGAAGAAAAATCCACCGGTAATGCTTTCCATGCTTGAGGAAAGCCGACTTGGCGGTTTTCTATACCTGAAGAAAAATCCACCAACAATGTTTTCCATGCTTCAGGAAAACCGACAACTGATATAATCGCTGATTTCTTTACTTTGAGAGGTGACAACAACCGAAAATTTTCCATGCTTGAAGAAAAAACTTGTCGAATGAAATCAGCAAGTCTCTGTGCATCGAGAATCTTACTCCATGAAAAAATAATGGTTTGATTGTCCCCGAACGTGGGCCGTAGATGACTTACCTTCAAGTCGACTATCCGACCATATTAGTTGTTAAAAATGTCGAAAATGTGATCCTGACGCTTGTTAGGGGTACACTGGTAATTTTGGGTCCCTTTAAATACCAATTAAAAATTTCCGCACAATTCCGGTAAAAAAATAACTGTCCAAAAGTTGCGGAAAGTCATTCCAACTTAGTCAAAGATGCCAAAATATTCTCCAAGAGGTTTAAAGATCGTGCAGGACACACAAGTAAGCACCGCATCACATGGAAAATTCCCGCGACACGGTGTCAAATCCCATCTAACGGTGGGAAATCCCGTGACACGGGATATTTTTCTTGCTGAAATATTCAACGCGCCACGATAAAAACGTCATGCCACGCGAAGAAAAGCCGTTACACGGTAACAGGACAAGAGGAACAGGAACGGAGCCGCGTAACGGCTACATTTTTAGCTTTAAATTCGAGCTGCGGCTTTCCCATTTTGTTAATTTTGCTTCGCCATTTTCATTCTCTTAATCTTCTTCTGTTCTCTCTTCTCCTTTTTTTTCATTTTTTATTTCGACGATCACCGTGCCATAGAGTTCAGCACCGGTGCACGTCAGACTTCACCGTGTCGCGGCGTCTGTGACCACGTCGCAACGTTTGTTTTTCGCCTTTTTGTGTTGGTTTCGCCGTTGCTGCTGTTTGAGTGCTCACCGCAGCTGCTATTGCCTTTATTCTTCACCGTTTTGAGTGGGATTGCATTGTGACACACACCTGCTACCGTGTCAAGGTGGCTGGTTGCTGAGCCGCGGTGTTAGGACTACTGCTTGTTGTAGTTCTTTGAGCTTGGAGCTCAATTCTCCCCCAAATTCGCTCCAAATTTTTGCTATTGTCCTCATTTTCGAATTCGTACAAGGATCCATGTAAGTTTTCTTTGCTTTTTGTCTCAAATTTTTTGTAAAATGCCATCTTTGCTTGAAACCCTAAAAAAAAAGCAAATTAGGGGTTTTCGATTTTGAGCTTCTATGTCAAAATTCTTTCCATGAATTAGTTTGTATATGAATGTATGTTTGTTTGTGTGCAATTTGAGACCAAGTTTGTGTGATTTGGTGAAGAATTGAGCAAATCACCAATTTTTGGTACTACTTGTGTGAAATGGTGTTCTTGTTGTCCATGTCATTTCTTAGCACTTGAAATGGTGATATACTGGTTGTAGATCTTGTAAAATATGCCATGATGTGTCAATCTATTGTTTTTGTGCAATTTCGAAACATGCTTTGTTTTTGTGTATGTACTATGTCGCCATGGAGAACATAGTATCATGCAATTAAAAGAAATGTAGTATTAGTTCGTCATAGAGAAACTAAGTACTAGAAATAATTCCATTATTTTACTAATTTTTAGCCTTAAGGTAAAATTTTTGCATATAATAGAAAATGCAACTTGAGGTAGCTGTTAAGCCGCTTTCGAATAAATAACTAAATAACTTAGGAAATGATTCTAATTATTTAGATTTTTTTTAATGTAATAGCATGCATAGACAACGAGATCGCGATCTTTCTACTCGTGGCCGGCGTCAGTCTTTTCCAGAGGACACTCCCACAATTCCCGAAGGCATGGATGACGATGTCTTAGAGACTGAACCTCTTCCTTCTACGGGTAGGGGTAGGTGGATTCCACACTACCACAAAAATTAGATTACAGATCACAAAAATATAAAACGGTTATCAAAGATAGGCGTTCTCCAGAAGAATATAGAACGCATTTGTGCAAAAGGCGTTTTATGAGTTATTAAATATAGAACGGTTAGAATAGTTAATCGTTCTCTATTTTTTTTTACTCAAATAATAAAAAACAAATAATTATTCATTTTAAATGATACAAAACGGTCGTCTTGACAAACGTTTTATATTTCTTTTTTATTCTATATTTAAAAAAAAAAAAAAAATTGGAGGGATATTTATGTGGACCATTGGGATATTGATAATTACCCTAATTATTCAAAGGCTGCTTAACATAATTGAAACGCTTCTATATTGCACTATCACTATTCACTAGAGTATCAAACTATCAACTGCTTACTGCTTCAAAAAAATGATGAAAAGTGAAACCTCTTGTTGCTCAATTCACCAATAACTGCTTCGTCGCCCTACCGCCCCACCGTCGCTCCATCTCCCCACCGTCGTCCCACCGCCCCACCGTCGTCCCACCGCCAAACTATTTAACGTCTACTTCACCGCACCGCACCGCTCCGCTACACTACCACTGCACTTTCCAGGTAATTCATTCAAATTTTTCTTGATTTGGATGAATTTGTCAATCTAATTGTATTAATCAATCGAATTTTTCAATTCAGCTGTAGTGAATTCATATTTTTCATCCATTACAGTAATTTCGATCGAATTTTTAGTGGATTAAAAAAAATTCACAATTTTAGTTTTTGGGAAATAATTCAATCAATTCTTATAAACGCAAATAATTCAATAGAATTGCAGTTTTTTCAATCAAATTACACTTAATTTATTCGAATTACAAGAAATTTCAGTATTAATCAAAATTATTTTCGCCATATTATTCTTACCTAGGTCAAATATAGAACCTAATTAGATAAAGAAAGAGGTGTAGGGGAAATTGATTACCACTAGATTATTATGTTCTATTAATTTCAAAATATTGGGAATGAGGGACATGAAGGCTTTTAATAAAGCTCTACTCGCTAAGCAAGCTTGGAGGATCCTAAACAACACTCCCTCACTAATGGTTAAAACTCTGAAAAATAAGTACTTCCAAAATTCTGAATTTATGTATGCTATGGTGGGTTCTAATGCGAGTTATACTTGGAGGGCTATATTATCTGCTCGAGACCTGCTAAAAAAAAGGGGCGGTGAAGTCTATTGGGAAGGGTCGTAGCATTGATATTTGGCACGATCCTTGGGTGCCTTCCCTTCCTGGTTTCCGCACTTTTCAGAATGAAACTCATAGTCAGGACTCCCCTAAAGTGGTGCATGATCTAATCAGTGATGGAGAGTGGGATAGAATTGAAGTCTCATTAATTCTATTTTCCCCCCCTTGGAAGCTGAAGCTATAATGAATATCCCTGTTGCTTGCCTCTATGATATGGATAAGTGGATGTGGGTACACTCAAAAAAGGGGGAATTTTCTGTCCAAAGTGCCTACTATGTGCAATTGCAGGCTAATCAAACTTATCGTGCTTCTATCTCTGATGCGAGTTGGATCACTATTTGGGGAAAGCTTTGGAATGCAAATATACCTCTAAAAATCAAGCACTTTGGCTGGAGAGCTCTTCAGAATAGCATCCCTGTTAGAAGCATTCTGAAAAAAAGAAATATTTGTGAGAATGATGGTTGCCCGTGCTATGGTGTGGCTGCTGAAACAATCATACACTCCCTTTTCACTTGCTTTGAAGCTAAGGTGATTTGGTACCTTTCCCCTCTTCATCTTGATACTAGCAAGTGTGGAGAATCCTCTTTTCTGGTGTGGTGCAGCAAGTTGGAGCACTATTATAAGGATAAAAATTGGTGGGATATTTTTTGTTGCTTAGTGTGGGAAATCTGGTTGAAAAGAAACACTCACTATTTTGAGAAAAAAAATCATGACTTTAGAGAAGGTGATTTGCAAGGCAATGAATATGGTGGGTGAGTACAAGAAAGCTAATGAAAAAATTCCTTATGAGATGTGTGAAAGGCAAAGTGTTAACAAGAAGTGGTCTCCTTCTGCTGTTGGGTACTACAAGATTAACTCAGATGTTGCTGTGTTTGGTGACAACATGATAGGCTTGGGTGGGATCATGAGAGATCACCTTGGTGATGTTATGGCAGCAACTTGTTGTTTACGGCATGGGTGTTTTGAGGTGGATATTGATGAAGCTTTTGCAGCAAGACATTGCCTGACCATTGCTTTGGATGCAGGACTGCATGATTTAGTACTGGAAACTGACTGCAGCAAGTTGTACAAGTATTTACAGCATGGGAAATGTGAAACTTCAGCCTTTGGTGTTATTGTTAGTGATATTCTTCTCTTGGCTAGCTCTTTCTCTAGTATTTCTATTTCACAGGTTGGTAGAGATGGCAATTGTGCCGCTCATTTATTAGCTAGAGGAAGCATTGAGTTTGGTGAGATGAGAGTATAATTAGAACTTAGAAGAAGTGCCACATTATGCTTGTAATACCGTGCTGCTATATTTAACTAGCCTGGAGTAATATTATGCTCAGATTTTTTGTCCAAAAAAACAAAACAAAAAAAAAAACTCTAAGTTGCAAATTATTTTAGAAAAATTGATTTGCTTTTCTTTTCTTTCATAAAAGGGTTGGTTATGAGATGCTGTGATTGAAATTTAGTTATGATTTAATCTAATTCTAGTGATGTATAAGAGTAGTAATGGTGTTTGTGGATTTTCGGTAGCTGATTGTGAAGAGAGAAGAGCAGGAAATCAAAATCTTATGGAAGTGAATTTATAATAATAGTAAGGTGGCAGAGTTGATTAAAGGAAAATTTCTTGTTGGTTGATTGTGAAGAGTTGAACTTGATACGTTAGTGCCCCTCCTTCCCTGACACTGGTAATATTTGTTGATTATATCTGCATCCTACTTTTGAAACTATAACGTCAACTTATCCATCTCTTAACAGTTAACAGGCACTTTTGCTAAGTCATCCAAAGAAAGACATGGTGACATTGCAGAATAACAACCATTTATAAAGTACTCCGTATGTATCTTTTTCATACTCTTTTCTTTATCTAGCTTTTCCTTTCATATAAGTTGAATTCAACCAAAATTTAGAAGAATGGATGTAGTACCTAGAAGTACTACTAATTTTAACCTCGTATCTAAAACTGTGTTGATGCAGGTTTTCTGGTCTATAAATTTAGGTTTTGTACAAGGATTTCCAGAGGATGTTCAGGAGGCCGAGTCTTAGGTTCTTTGACACGATGTTTTGCTTTTGCACTAACTATACTGTTAGCTATGTATTTTCGATAATGAAGCCAATTTGGACTCAATGTACCTGTATTCATTGCAGAACCTGGTTTGTGCGAAGAATTTGGTGATAGACAAGAGCATCCAAAAAGCATACATTGAAGCAATCAGATCTGCTCAACATTTCATTTATATAGAAAAACAGTATTTCCTTGGATCATCATATGCTTGGCCAAATTACAAAAATGCCGGTTTGAAAATTTTTGTTTCCCTTTCTTATAATCTTGCTGTTGAGGTTGTTTAGAAAATGTGAATGTTCCTGTTGGATTCGATAGCTAGTTTGCTTAATGACTTTGTACTGGCAGGTGCTGATCATTTGATACCAATGGAGTTGGCCTTGAAGATTGTTAGCAAAATCTGAGCCAAAGAGAGATTTGTTGTCTAAGTTGTCATCCCTATGTGAATTGTAGATCAATATGGTATTGGTATATCTAAGCATTATTTTTTTAAAATCAACATTAACTAGAAAGGTGTTTTGATATTAAACTCAGGTATTTATTTGTACAGAACAAATTTCGTATGGATGGTAGAATTTAATTGTGGTTAGATGTTTTAAATTATATATATGAAGTATATTTTGATGGCTTTTGTCGTATTTGGAAATATTTTTGTTAATTTTATTATACAGAAATTTATATTGCACGTATATAGGATCATGGATTTATTTTTACATAGGAAATGTGAAAATTTTCTTAAGGATAAATGTACAAGATAAAAAATAGGAATACAACAAATACAGGTCTAAAATGAAATACAAAAATAATATAGACTATTAAAATACAGGAATAATACAATATAAAATACGTACAGGGGTAATTCGAAATACATATGGCTGGATATTTTTAAAAAAAAACATTAGAGAACTGTTATCTAACTTAACCGTTCTCTATTGTAATGCAATATAGAACGGTTAAGTGGCCTAAACCGTTCTTTATTCCTTCCTTAGGGTATGAATTTAAGGAGGGAAAAGAGAACGGTTGTGACTAACAACCGTTCTCTATATGTGATTATATAAAACGCCTAAACAACCCGTTCTCTATACTTTATACATCGCTTAGCAGAATAACGCCCCTAAGGCGATCTATAAAGCCTATTATAACAGTTCTCTAATTCTTTTTTTGTAGTAGTGCCACCTCCGTGGACACCAAACGAGTTGGTTTTCTGTCATGAGAACCACATTTCTCACCGTCCACTTATGGCACGCTTTGCCATCATGTTCAGGATCTGGAGATTCGATTCCCCGGCTATACAGGATTATCACGAGGGATCCTATCACTAACTCCTTATGGGAGTTTGCTGGTTTAGGAGATTTCTATTCAACGGTCATAGGATTTCGCAGCCCCCGGGGTTGTGGTTCGACAGTTGTTCGTGCGTTGTTGAGTATTTTTGGGATACTACTAACACTTTTCACTTTGCTTACGGGGAGATGACAGTGACCCCTCTGGATTTTAGCATGATCAGCGGCTTACGCTTCACCAAGCGGGCCGTACGGTAGATTCCTGACCTCACTTGGGGGGCAGATGAGGTAGCTGATTTGTTAGGTCCGATCGTTCAGCATATCAGGACTCAGTGGGTGCCTCGAAGTGGTCCTAAGAGTGGGCGATCAGAATTGGCTTTTGTTCTTGCCCATGGTTTTAACATGGCTGAGACGAAACCTGAGCAGCGAGTGCGGATCTTTATCTTGATTCTCATTTCCAGGACTCTTTCTTATGATAGGAGTTCACGTGCGCTCGTTTGCTACATTCCTTCTCTGGTCAGGATCGGCGAGATAGGATCCTATAGTTGTGCTAGCATAGGATATGCTGATTTACTCTCGTCGCTGCGTCATGGCTGCAGGCAGCTGAATGACCAGGCCCCTGTTGCTGTTTACGATTTATGGAGAGTCGTTGTGGTGACGATTTTTCTTCTTCTTGTCTTGTTTTAACAAATTTAACTCATGTGCTTAGAGATAAATTTTCATTGCAGTTGTGGTTCTATGAGTACTTTCTAGGATGGGCCCCTCAACGGCGTTGCGGAGCGGTCCATGATTTCCCTGTTTGAGCCAGTTGGCGTGACCGAGGCGAGTCACGAGTTGAATCTGTATCTGCGCTGCGCGGGCTGCTGCGCCAAGGCACCTCTTCTGTTGGTGTAAGAATTGATCTTGCAGCATGTTATTCTCTACCTTGATGTTATTTTTTGTCATTCATTGCAACTTTTTATGGTTTTTAGGTTGCTGTTGAGATCCAGTATCAACCTCGGGTTAGTATGACTGATCTTCCCAAGGCCTTGGAGCTTTCGGCGTGCCATACTGTTTTTCGTTGGTACTGCACGCTTTGCTTGGTATCTTGGGGAGCACGTTGTTCGCCAGTACAGTGACCGCTTTATGGTGCCTTTGCCTCCTCCAGAGTTGATGCTGGACTCACGTTTGCTTGGGGCGTTGATGAACAGGAAGGAACGATACACATTTCCTTAGTAGGAGCTTGTGCGTATGGAAGGTGATTATTCACAAGAATTGCTTCCTTCTTTGGCTCCTCCGCCCCGTCTTCCCAAGGTATGATTTCCTTTGATAATTTTGTCGCTAGTCTCTATTTAAACCGTCGAATAACCTGATTATTCGATCATGTTTCTAGACGGCTGCTCGTCGTAGGGGGAAGGTTGAGGTCCCATCTCAATTTGTCCGTTACCCGGAGCCGATCGGTATTACTAAGGATCATATTGCTGACGCACCATAGGGTTTTAGACAGGCACATGAGTCTTTCCCTGATGTGTTTGAGCCGATATGCTTTTTGACACGTTATTCATCCTTTTTTAATATCGCTTGTTACTGATTTTTCTTTATTCTCAGCCTACGCACTCGGACGTGATGGGATTTATGAAAATGGTTGACGCTTTGAAGTACTGCATCATCAAGCTTCGACGTAGTGCGAGTTGTCAGGGCGGTTCTGGGGATGTTTTAGAGGTATATTCACCTGTTTTCCCATATTTACCATTTGTTCTATCTTGCACTAGGTATATTCACCTGTTTTCCCATATTTACCATTTGTTCAATCATGCACTATTGACATCTTTTATTTTGTGTCTTTCAGGAGCGGCAGAGGTCTTGCTCGCGCTCGAGGCATAGAGACTCGGACGAGGGGGAGCCTAGTCACCGCAGACGATCTCCTGAGGTTCGTAAGCATTCTCAGTCTCAGCGGCAGCCTCGACCTTCTCAACCGTTTCAGGATGCTCAGTGGCAGTAGCCTCAGTCTTTCTAGCTATTCTAGCACTTTCAGGGCGAGTGGCAGCAACCTTCATCTTCCCAGCGACCTTAATCCCGTGGACCATGGTTTATACTCAGTTCCATTATCTGGGGCGCTGCCTCCACCGGTGCAGTGATTATTTTTAAGTTACATTGTCCGGGACGATGCCTCCACCGACGCTTCCTACCTCTTGGAGTCAGCCTACGCCGTTTGCCAGCTGGACAGGTCTTGCTTTGTGTTTGTATTCTATTGGAGCTATAGGGACTAGTAGGGATACTACTCCTTGTACTTAGATGATGGAAGGACTCTTTGGTCCGTCATTCCCGTATTCGCAGGCTCGAGATGACATTGATCCTAACTCTTCTAGTTCTGGATATTTGACCGAGGGTTTTTATTATATATTTTGATTGATGACACTTGACACTATATATGCATCATGACTCACTTTGTATATTTTATTTACACTTTATGCATTTATTAGTGTGTGCTTGAGACTCATTGTGTGTGAATGTGTATTTACTAATGACGCAAAAAAAAAAAAAATTGTAAGTGGAGGGTACCGACCTTCCCCAAAAGAAAAAGAAAATGAAAAAGGGACAAATTTTGCAATTTCCCCGTAAAGAAAAAGAAGTAAAAATGAAAATGGGACAAGTTTTACAACTTCCCCAAATAAATATAAAAATGGGACAAATTTTTCAATTTCCCCAAAAGAAAAAGAAATAAAAATGAAAATGGGACAAGTTTTACAACTTCCCTAAAATAATAAGAAAAATAAAAATAAAATAAATATAAAGATAAAATAAAATAAATAAAATATAAAATAAATGGAGAATTTTATTAGGCATGAAACTCTCAAAAAACAAGTTTAGAAGATAAACGGTGAAGGAAAAACAATATAAAAATCCTGATAAAAACAGGTAAAGGATAAATATATGAAAATGCGTGGGCACCGCGACACGGCAGTATAAACCGTGTCATGGGAAAACATGCCGTGTCGCGGTAAAAATTCCCGTGACACGGTGGGATTTCCCGTGTCACGGTGCGCGTATTCTGCAGCGATGTAGTTTGCGTGTTTAGAAAGGTTGATTTTGAGTGATTCCGAGCGTTTTGGCTATAAAATAGGACCAGTTTATTCGTGATATGCATAATTACGAAACACAAAATAATTAGAATTTCATATTTCAATAATGTCTCAGAATTTTGATAATACATTGAGTGACTGGTCCTATTCTTTGACCAATGCAGACAAAAGAGAGTTGGAATTGTTTCATGTCAGAGGCTTATTAGCCTTAAGGCATGTAGCAATTGAACATGATTTTCTTAGGGCAACTTTAGATTATTGGAGTCCAGAAACTCATTGTTTCAAATTTGATTATGATGAAATATGTCCCTTGCCAGAGGAATTCGGTGCCATATTTGGTTTTCCTGCTAGAAATCTCATTGCAATGCCTACCCTACATAAGTATTATTACCAAGATTTTGAACGTCATCTGAATTTGACAGATCTAAATTTAAATAAAATTGTGTGTGGTAATGAAGTAGATCTAGAAAAGCTTGGAAATTTGTATTTCAATCGTCCTGTCTCTGAGTCTTATCATGTATACCGTAGAAGGGCTTATATTTTTTGCATGTTTGGCAAGATTTTATTTGCAAACGGTAGGGTAGGACATGCTTGTTTAACGTTTGTGCTTGAACATGTTGAATCTGGAAGATCTCCTATGCCTACTTGCCTTGGAGAAACTTTGTGTGGCCTTAACGAAGCAAAAGCTGACCGGAAAGCCATCTGGAAGGGCTCCTTAGTACTGTTACAGGTAAAAACGCGCCCTGATTAGCCATCGTGACACATAGAAGGCACCGTGTCACAGTATATGGTTGTCGTGACACGGTGCATTATGCCGTGTCCCGGTGCTTTTCTGCATTTTTCATTTTTTTTTATGCAGATTTGGTTGATGGAACGTTTAGAACTCTTTGAAGCCCCAGAAGATATTGAAAAATAAGGTCCCAACGATCTAGTCCGTAGGAAGAAGAATTACTCTGCAAACATGTCGTATGATGATTGGAAGGTCTTCTTTGCAAAGAGAGAATTTTCCATTCGGTGGGTGGTGCCTTTGTGGAGGCTTACTAGGATGGTTGGCACGAATGATACTCCGTATTGTTGCGTTCCTAGTATTTCAAAGTTGACTTTTGATTGTCCTTCCCGATTGATGCGACAATATGGACTTGAACAAGTAGTTCCACGCTTAAACGATAGTCCTCGTGAAGTATCGTTGCATGAAAGTAATGTTCACAAGTACAAGACTTATTAGATTGGAAGGCCTTTGTGTACCGTTTCTGCGAGTAACCAAGCTCCTCCTCCCTTATCTAGTGCATACAAGGCATGGTTGAATCCTAGAAGTAGAAGGGATTGAGTCGGATCACGCAACTTTGATGTGAAGGGACGTCTTGGAA